GTCATCAGCTGAACATTTACAAAATTTGATTTTCAAGTATATAAATGATACAAAGTCATAATTAAAAAAAAAAAATAAAAAAAATAAAAAAAGTTGTACCCGATTCAAGTTGTATTCTTGATAAGTCTAGATGATAACCAGAAATCAACGGTTGTAGATGTCTGTTACTATCTGCAGTGTCCACAATGTAATCTCATATTTAAACTACACATATTAAAAAAAAAAAAAGGCAATAAGAATAAATTGTTATTTTAGTTGTACTGTGTACTTTTATTACAATAGCTACTCTGTTCACTGATTATACATCTCATTCCGAGGAAAATAAGTTATCTTGTATAGTTGTTAAAATCATAATGCAAAATTCAATAAATCAACTAAACCATCTGTTCATGAGACAGATATGTATCTGATATTTAGTTATACATTTAAAAAAACAGCACAATACTTTCATTTACAAAGTGAACAGTATTTTTTTTTTTTTAATGTACTATTTCTTGCGTATAAACATTGTTTATAATTATTCCGTAGTTGTGATAACAATGTCGGGAGCATGACACAAAATTTTGTACACTATGAATTACACTCAAAAACTTCTGCGTACATAAAAAGAAGATTCTTGTCAACAAAAATTTCTTAAGTAATGCAGCGGCTATACTTACAATGTTAATTTAGATATAATAGATACAAAAAAGTACGAAGTACTGCAGATTTAATGTACATCATTTACCATGTACTAAATGAGCTTTCATGCAGAACATGTGAATACAATATCGTGGTACCGTAGTATCACTTTGAATTATTACCTGTTTAATTAAGGTTAAGTTATTAAACTCTGACAACATTAACCAAGTACACTGTATACAGTCTCTTCATAGGTGTGATAAAATATCTTGGTATTTACTTGCGACAATTCTTCAGGTCGCAAAATGAAACAAAAAACATAGCATGCAGTGTACCGCTACATAACCATGCACATGATTTTGACTCTGCACTTCGAAGCGTTGTGTCTATATGTAATGTGAATATACATATAGTACACCGTATACAGCTCAAAAGCTGTCATGTACGAGATACTCTCCTAGCGTTGGAGCCATGATATTTTCCTCCGTGCATGTATGCAACAGTCTCATTGTTTATGGAAAACATGGCCAGGTTGTTTTTACAAGTTATGACCACCTCGTCGAGTGCCACTAGATCGTCTTCAACCTTTTTGTTAGTATCATTTATCATATTTATAGCGTTTGGTCCTAAAAGTAACAGGGAGTAAATAATTAAAAACACTCTATTCTTATGTACCTGCGTGCGCGTAAAGCTAATAATTTTTATGTAAGGGTAGCACGTAAATTGAGCATGAATTAATTCAAGAGAAAATGGTGTCAGCATCATATGTGATAGGCATAGAGAGTGGAAAAAGGCCGATTAACAGCATTTACTGTTCTACGCGTGCCACCAACTGCAGCATGAGAAGACGCGCACGCTCAGTTTGGCTGAACGCAAGCCGTAACCGAAACGCACACCTCCCCTTCTTGCCTCAAGGCATCCCCCTTGGCAACAACTGACTAGTTTAGTAGAAATGCGTCTCTTTTGTCATGATTCTGGCCCATCCCTCGTAAAAACAAACACGTACCAGCTCTCGAGTTTCCCGAATTTCTGAACAAAAAAAAACATCTAATGAAAAGATCCTCAGTTATGCAATCTTAAGTGAAGTATCTTGTACCATCTTAAAACAAAACACAAATCTTTCAAAGCGTACGATAAATAAACATTATAGAAAAAGTCAACAGTTCACTTAAATACGGAGACTTCAAGGCAATATATATATCGTCTCGTCTCCTTGCTATTGCGCATGCGTGAAAATTCAGTTACGAATGCTAAATATGCATCTTACACTTATAAGTTATTGACATTGATATTTTTTAGAATTTACAACAAAAAGTCAGCACATTTTTCGGAATGTGCAAGCTACAAATTATAAGCACATAATCATAATGATACGGAATAAAACCTTAAAGTTAGATTTTTTCTTACAACATTTTATTATAACTTCTTAAAAAACAATTTACGGGACATTTTCTGATACTTGACGCATAGTTTTGTTGTGTATTATGTTTGTTCTACTTATATTTTATATATATTCCGCAAGGTAGCGCTTTCACTGCTATTTGCTTTTTCGAGATTACCTAGCATTACGTTAGTTCTACTGAAAGATTCAAGCCGACTATTACACGGCTCTCATTGCGTTTACTCTCTCTCATTTGCTACTCTTCATAATCCACTTTTAACTCTTTGTACAATGTAAATGATAAAGGACCTAAACTTAATTCTACAAGTGTGTGTTTGCCTCATTTACTTGCCCCATACATAATAATTTGTGTCAGAAGTTCGAGTGATACATTCCGCAAGGAGAGGAAAGAGGTAGTATACAAAGAAAACGAGCGAGAGTGATCAATATGGCCACCATTACGCCAGAGGTGCAAGAAGCGATCGCGCAAGCATTAGCAAGTGCTTTAAGGGCTGCAGTGCCAGCCTTTTTGGCCGCTGCCACTTCAGGGCAAGAGCGCGATACAATCTCACGGCCACCGCCATTTTCTTTCCAACCGCTCCGTGTATCAGACGGAAGCTGTATGCCATGCATGTAAAAAGAAAGGCCATATATTAAAAAATGTGCAAATTTAAAAAAAAGTCTACGACACATCAAGTTACGAAAGAAGTAAACACACCGATGCAGGTGGATAGATTAATTCGTCTAATTTGTCGACATAGAGCTCGACACTGGCGCACTGTGTGGCCTGATCGGCAGCAATACCATGCGAGCAATCGGGCAAGGGATTTCGCTCAAGCCAACGAACAGGCAGTTCGCCAGTTACTCGCACCATTCCCTTAAGTGCATGGGCTATGCTACAGCGAGTGCGACACTGGGTAACACGATGAAGCAGCTGGATCTTTACGTCATTGAAGGAAATTATGACTCCTTGTTCGGGCATGAGTGGTTAGTGCAGTTCACTCACGAGATCCAGTGGAAGGAGATTTTCACTCTACGCCAGATACATAACCTTATAACTGCAACGCCGGAGTTATTCAAGGAGCAGACAGCGCGGTGGGAAGAGCTGCCGCATAAGCACGATAAAATTTTCAGCCTGTCTGTTGATAAGTTAGTGGGCCCTCCAGTAACGATGCATCTAAAACCAGGAGTGACACCGGTTTTTGCGAGAACCAGAGAAATTCCCTACGCTCTGAAGGATGCTTGTGCAAAGGAAATTGACAAAAAAATTGCATCAGGACATTACATGCACGTCGATCATTCTGAGTGGGCCTCGACAACTCACGTAGTCATGAGAAAAAATGGTAAGATACGCATCACAGGCAACTACAAGTCTACACTTAATCCAAGAATTGTTATTGATGAGCATCCTTTTCCAAGACAGGACGATATTTTTAACAAGATGCATGGGGCAAAAGTATTCTGCCATTTAGACATAACAGACGCATATACTCACTTAACAGTAGATGGAAAATTTAGTGAGGCGTTAACACTGAACACGCCAACCCACGGTCTCATACGTCCGGGCAGAGCAGTCTACGGTGCAGCAAACACTCCAGCAATTTGGCAACGCAAAATTGAGTCACTCATCAAAGATATCCCAGGAGTGCTCAACTTTTTTGATGATCTCGTGCTTTTTGCTGATTCACTCGACAGTTTACTTCAAACTATGGATGTAGTGCTTACCAGGTTATACAAGAGTGGGCTCTGCTTAAGCCGATCCAAGTGCACATTTGCTGCACCTGCCATTGAGTTTCTGGATCACAAAATTGATGCGTCTGGTATACATAAGTTAGATAAGCACATCCGTGCAATTTTAAATGCACCCAAGCCTACTACACCTCAAGATTTAGAGCTCTTCATTGGGAAGGCAACTTACTACAGCGCCTTCATACCTGATCTTGCTACAAGAGCTCGTCCACTCCGTAATATTCTCCTGAGAGAGCCATTTCAATGGACTTCTGATGCAAGGAAGGCTTATCTGGAACTAAAAAACATTTTGGTTTCTCCACAGGTTTTGATGCCCTATGACCCAGCAGTGCCTCTGGTCCTAGCTACAGATGCGAGCAAGGTCGGATTTGGAGCTGTCTTATCGCACTGGCTCGATGATGGGATCGAGCGACCGATTGCATATGCTGCACGCACCATGACCACAACGGAGCAAAAGTACCTCCAAATCGACAAGGAGGCCTTAGCCATCGTTTGGGTGGTCAACAAATTTTTTAGATATCTATATGCAAGGCATTTTTATCTCATTACTGATCACAAACCACTGACTCAGACTTTGCATCTAGAGAAATCTCTTCCAGTATTCTGCATCAGCAGGATGGCAAATTACGCTGATTATCTGGCTCACTTTAATCATACGGTTGAGTTCAAACCAACAAAGTCGAATGCCAACGCTAATTTTTGTTCAAGATTGCCTCCAGTTGCAACAGAAAATCACTTAAGCTCAATTTCTGCTCAAGAGGAGAAAGAAATGGTGGAACTTGACAAATTTGACCAGTTCATAGTAAACCAGCTTTCCCAACTTCCAGTGAGGGCTGAGCTGATTGCAAAGGATACCAAAAAGAATAAGCACCTAGGAAAGATAGCACAGCTGCTAACGAGTGGCCAGCACCTTGCTCGCCACGGCTACAAGATGCCATAGAGAAACTACACTCTCTCAGCCAATTGCCTGCTACTGGAACACAGAGTAGTTATTCCACCTACTCTTCGCCAAACTATCCTGGAAGACTTATATGCAGCCCACATTGAAATGGTGAAAATGAAGGGCTTGGCCAGATCATTCGTTTACTGGCCTGGAATTGACGCTGACATCAAGGGCATTGCTAAGGCATGTACCGTATGTGCTGGACGTGCACATGCTCCAGCTAAATTCCGAGAGCACCACTGAGAATATCCCAAAGGTCCATGAGAACGCATCCACATTGACTATGCTGGGCCTGTTGCTGATAAGATGCTGCTGATCATCGTGGACGCCTACAGCAAGTGGATGGAGGTTAAGGTCACCAGCTCGACTACGACCACAGCAACCACAACAATCCTCGATGAACTATTTGCAGCCTATGGGGCTCCAGTCACTGTCGTATCAGATAATGGACGACAATTTGTATCTGAAGAATTTCAGCAATCCTTACGTCAAAGTGGAGTTAAACATCACAAGCTGTCAGCACCGTATCACCCAGCCACCCATGGCCAAGCGGATAGGTACGTCCAGACAGTCAAGGATTTTCTACAGAAAATAGGAACTACAACAGGCTCTCTTCAACGCAACCTAAATGAGTTTTTGAGGCAGTACAGGAAGGCTCCGCACTCTACTACAAGACAACCTTCTGTTCAACTTTTCTTAAACCAAGTGCTTCGAACTCAACTGGATCTGGTCAGACCAGACTCAACTAAAACTCGCATTACCAAGAAACAGCAAACAACTTCCAACTCAACTTTTAGAGTGTTCAAGGAAGGACAATCAGTCTATTTCATCTCGGGTAACGCTCGCTTAAACAAGTGGATCCCAGCAGTTATCGTCAAGAGACTTGGTGATCTACACTACGAAATTCAAGGCAATGAAAGAATTCACAAACGCCACGTGGACCAGATCCGAGCACATCATGAGAAGCTTGGGATTCCAGAGGAAAGAGCAGAAGAGCCGTTAACCAGTCCAGCAGCGACAGACAACGATAAACACCATATACGTTACTATAAACAGTCAGCTGTTCTGCTTCAACCGGACAACCAGCAGCCGCCCCCAGAGGTCCAGATACCTGCAACACCACCAAGGACTTCACCACAAAGGACACCACCACAAAGAGCTCCCACTCCCGAGAATGACCGTGCGCCGATCAGAGAGGAACCGGAGACCACCGCAGCGTTATACTCCCTAGTATATTTGAATCTTTAAAAAAAATATATAAAATAAAAAAGGAGAGAGGAAATGTTGTGTATTATGTTTGTTCTACTTATATTTTATATATATTCCGCAAGGTAGCGCTTTCACTGCTATTTGCTTGTAAAGGTTAAAAACGTTAAACTCTAATAAAAGTATATTTTTTCTACTGATTTTTATTTTATACTGAGATTCAAGACTGGGAAAGTCTTATATTTTTCCTGGATCATTTTTGCACTGTAAAAACTAAGTTTTATCGCTATATCAATAGAATTCCAAGTCCNTACTATTTGCTTTTTCGAGATTACCTAGCCTTACGTTAGTTCTACTGAGAGATTCAAGCCGACTACTACACGGCACTCATTGCGTTTACTCTCTCTCATTTGCTACTCTTCCTCATTTACTTTTAACTCTTTGTACAATGTAAATGATAAAGGACCTAAACTTAATTCTAAATGTTTGTTTGCCTAATTTACTTGCCCCATACACAATAGTTTATATTGCTGTTGTTACATCACATCGAAGTAAGAGGTCTGGTGATTTTTTTTTTCTAATCATCGAAACAATTGTTAAGAAATATTCTGTAACTTAATTCATGACTAATGTAATTTGAAGATATAAAACAATTCATCTCATACATTTTAGCATAAACGTTCAATTTTCATTCAAAAATAGTTTTCTTGTAAGCAACTACTGTGATCCGGTGTAAGGGGTTGTACACCATAACTGTTAAAATAAAAACAATTTCTTTGTTATTAAGTCTACACAGCAACCCAAGAAATAAATAGCTTTGTATTATTGTCAGAGTTTATAACAAGTTTTGCCAGTTTTTTTGTGCCCGTGAAATGTGATATGCCAGGAATATACCCACAATATGCAAGAAGATTGGCGAAGGATATTGCAGTATCTGCAAGCTATTTTTGGTACATTTCTTACGTTTTAAATGCTTGCTTGTCAATGTAGTGGTTACAGAGGCATAACTTTGATTTGTAAACACTTTTCAAGGCAAATCGATATTTTTAATAATCTAGTTTCGATGCTCAATTTATGCAATACTTATCTGCTGATAAGGCTTTTGAAGGTTGACAGTAGATCCTGTATTTAAAATTTATTACTTCACAATTTGTAGCTTGGTGCAAATCGTTGCACTTTTGCAAATTCTGACGTTAATTTTGCGTGAGTTTCTTCTCATATCATTTGAAATTTTAAAAGTCGTTTCTAAAGGTACTTTATCTCTGAAAAAATCCAGTCCATGATAATTTTGAGACAACTTTATCTAATGTCATTGTGCCTTCCTAGTCAGTTTTAAAAAGTAAAATAAAAGTGTTACTATTCAATAAGCGGAAAAGTCATTGTACAAAGCAACGATAGCAACTTTTTTCCGAACCGTTACATCTTCTTCCACCTTAAAATACAAAATGACTACTACGATGTTTGATGCGTATTATGGCTGAGTAGTTGTTGCAGCAATTTGGCCCGTCATAACAAACCTCCACCACCCACGTCAGGCTTTTCCATGATGATCAAAGACAAGGTATGCGAGGCGGATGATATGCCCCCACGATGGTTGGGTTCCCCTCCCAACTTTAAGCGTAGAGAGAGGGTTCACCTACTTTCGAGTTACTGGAGAAGTTTAAATTTCTCCTTTTTGTTCAGTATGGCTATTTTTTCCATAAATATAGGTTTCTCCAATAGGAAGAGTCAAAAATATTTTTAAATTTTTTTTCATGACATCAAAATAAAATGTGATTAATAGCGATGTAGTGAGAATTTAAGGTAAATAACAACGACGGTCAATACATTTATTAATTTATTTTAAAATTCAACGCCTCTACAAGTGCAACTGTATAAAATAACGAAATACTATTTATAAAATCGCATACATATTCTTTTGTTAAATGTTTGCATTTTGTCGTATCTACAGACACGACTTTTTTAAACACACTTTCTAAATTTAAATCATTTATCTCTCTTACAATTTTCATTACAATATTAGCTCTACGATGATTAATTTGCGCTTCATACATATAACAACCTTTTTCTGAAATATAATCTACGAAATTCTGCACAACAGTAGGCATAAAATCCGACAAATTACTTAAGACACGTAAATTTTAATTAATACATTTGACAATAAATTTGCTTAAATGATCAAAGGTCACCTTTTGTATAAGTAAACTACGATTGCATGGTTTTGTGACACTACCTCTCACAACCTTCCTTTCGTCCTTCTTCAAGCTGAATAGTCTTGTCGTTATAACTTATAGGAAACTGTAGAAATCAGTTCGAGCCATTAATCTTAATGTCCTGCAAATTGCTGTCATCCGTGATAAACTACCTCTCAATTTCTGTACAAGCCAATTTCAATTCATTCCAATCCAAAATTTTGGAAGGAATCCCTTCGTTATTTGTGCTTAATAGATGAGCTGCAGGTTCTCAATTGTTGTCAAGTTATTTCTCACATTCCAGACCAACTATGGCTTTTTTGCTAAATCATTCATTCGAACCATTAATCTTGCAAAAAACTATGGAGGAGACTATTTATACTGCTTTACGCTTGAGAGATAGATTGCTACTGACTGAACAACACTCTTCATCTAGAACTCCATTTTTCTGTTAAATTATATTGATGGTATGACGAGCAGTCAGAGACTTACGACTAATCTGAGTTTTTTATACTAGTTGTAGCTCGAAAGAGATAGTATGAAAAACGTTTAAAGGTAATAAGTCACGTTGTAGCATGAACAATTGCGTCCACAATTTATCCAGAATAACGTTCTTTGCAACAAGTATGATCGTGTGTCACGCGCGGATAAAAAAACGCTGAGTAAACAATTCTTTACAAACTATAAGCATTCATAGGTGAGATTGCAAAATGCTGACATCGTTTATTCTTGAAATTCATAATAATGTAACATTAGCATCTGTCAATAGACGTTCAAAAATGTGCAGACAGCAAAATACAAGTATATTCATGAATACACTTGTATCAATGACATTGTACTGCAACTTTTTTGTAAACATTTTACCAGACAACCACTATAACCCGACACCGAGCTTCCTAAATTTTTCTCACTACACCTTAATCAAATGAAACGTCTGAAAATTTCGTCATTCTTTTACAAATCAGCGGAAAAGTTGTCAAAAAGTTTTTGAATTCCTAAACCGTTGCTTATGTAAAACAAAGGCATCGAACAATACTAATCACATAGGTTAAAAGATATGCTTTGTAACTGTTTATCATTCCAACGCAGTTTCTTACAATTTTTACGAAATTGATTTACTGATTTATGTTCTGGGGTACATAAGGGCGAATACCATAGCTATCGAAACATGAGCCTTTGGAATGTGCACTAACGTATATAGCAACCCAATGCATACCTGGTTTTTTGTGATCATCAGTGTTAATGACGAGTGCTGTTGGTTTCATCCACACGCGTGGGATCTGATTGGATAGAAACACACCAACGGTATGCGTTGTAATTTGTGACTGGATTCGCAGTATCTTTTGGCAATTCATTACGTTCGCAGGGCTAAGATTTAAATTTATGAGCGTTATTTGAGGCACATTGATATTCTTTATGATTTAATTTTAGTGCTTGATACAAGCACTACAATTCTGATGACAAATCTTGTTAAGGTCGACAGTGAATATCGTATTGAAAAATTATTATTTAATATAGAGCTATTTTATGTAAATCGTACCACTCTTTATGACCTCTGAAGTTAATTTTACTTGCACTTCTAATATCATTCAAAATTTTAGAAGTTGCTTTTAAAGTTACTTCACCCTCATAGAAGTCAAGTCCATGGTGATGTCAGGACAACCAAATATTCTGTCGTTGCGCCTCCTTACTTAATTTTCGCAAGCAACCAGAAGGTGTCACTACACATTGTGCGGGTCATTGTGTAAAGAAACGATAGCAACTTTTTTCGGATTTGTTACGCCTTTTTTTCCACTTTGAAATACGGAATGTTGACTATGAGTTCCATTGCGATTTATGGATGATTGAGCGTACCAACAGATACTAAACCGAGAGATGATTGGTGTATGAGAGTAGTAAGTGTAAGTATATGTAATAAGTGGCACCACCTAACCTCTAACGTCAACCATGATTTGACGTGACGCATCGATTTCAAGAATATTCTTGTACTCACCGTACACCATACAATTCACAGTTGATTTTAGAGCTTGGACAAATTGAACGTTCAATCTAACGCTGCCATGTTTAGTTAGGTTTCAATAAGATTATTTGTTGGCCAATAAATCCGGTGTTAAATCGAAAGCAAAGAGACAATAACCGTTGGAATAAGATTTGCGACTAATGTGATTTTCCTTCTTAAAAGTGAACTTCAGTGTCCAAAAACAAGGTATGATAATCATCTTTGTATAAATTATTTTTTTTTTAGTCTGACTGTAATAGTTTAAAAGGAACTGGAACACCGTCAATGTATACTTTAAGAAAATTTACATTGAAATGATGAAAATTAAATAAATTTATAGTGCGATCACTATTAAAAGCTTGATTTTTACCGAAACCTATGATCATTTAATTAGATAACTGGCCTTAAATAGTATTATCTAGAGCTTTGCCATAACTACTACTTTGCATTTTTACAGCTTTTACTTCGGCTCACGTGAGCGTATATTTTGCTGTACTCTTAGACAGTGCTCTGTTTAATCTGGTATGGGCTAACAAAACAGATGGGCCTATTTGAACGCGACTCACTAAAAGATTTGCTTTTTTGATATGAGCAGAAACCAAGTTTGAAGTGTCTATGAGACAAAATGCATTGCAAAATCGTACTAATCGCATTCTTACCTTGACGCCATTCATGAGTAATTTTTTCTGGTTGCACGCATCGCAATAGACATGAATAATCACATTAATCCATTTTTTTGCTGAAAGTAGTGTATGTCACTTGACAAGTTCCGCGTTGGCATTCCAGACACCATCTATCTTTGTTGCCATATCGTCGCACCATAGTACACTTGTTAAGTTGAATGATTTGGC